GATGTGTACCACCAATGTATGTTTGATATATATTTGATGTGTCTCTGATATATCACTGATATACAACTGATTTACTTCTGATATAACTACTATATCTACTAATATAATTTCTAATATAGTTTTACCACTGATATATGTATGATATAATTATGATTTCTACTGATATAAATTCTGATATGATTATATGATTTACCATGCTGATATAACACTTGTGTATCTGTGATATATACTTCATATCTACTAATATAACTTCTTGTATGATTGATATATTTGTGATATACATTTAATATGCCTCTAGTTTACCACTATATACCTTGATATAACTATGATATTTGTGTGTTGATATATTACTAATATATCTACTAATTTTTTTTTCAGATGAAAACAATGGCACAAAAATAAAATATAAAGTTCTTGCATAAAAGATTGATGTGGACTATAGACGAAAAATAAACAAGTTAAAAATTTGATATACTTTATAAATTTAAGCAGCTCATATCCCTTATATTTAGTATCTAATTACTATTAATATAGATTAAATAGTAGTGATATAGCAATCAATTATTGATAATATTAGTATATCAATCAACAAATCGCAGTGATAAATTACCATTTAAACAACTGATATACCACTGAAAATTAAACATTTGATATACCTTATATTTAGCATATTAGTTACAAATACACTTTGTATATATCATAAATTAGAGATACATCAGATATACATTATTAGATGTATAATACATACATATGATGTATATCAATGGTACATCGAATGTAGATCGGAAGTATAATAAAGGTACATTAAAAGTATATAAGATATACAATCATATGTATATCAGAGATACCTTAGATGTCATAAAGGTAAAATTGGAATAAATTTCAAAGATAAAAATTCAAATATTCCATGAGGTTGACATTTTTATAAATATGTATAAAATTTTTGCTAACCAATGTAATTTTTTTTTATTATTATTATCTTGGAACTAGCCCAGAAATTAAGTTGGATGGGGACTATTTTTTGTATTTACAAGGAAGCAGACTAAATTTGGACACTTGAAAGTTGAAAGTATTATTAAGACTCAAATAGAAGGATCCTCAAAGTACACAAGATGAATATTTGTAAACTAAACTAAAAAAAAAAAAAAATTATATATATATGTGTGCGCACGCGCTCTTATTCAGTTCGATATTCTGACAGAAGTAGCTCTAATTTTCGGTCACAAAGTTTAAGACTTTGGCAGTAATGAAATAAATTGTCCATTAATTTTAGGTTTATCCAGATGTGGAAAGAGTTGCAGATTGCGGTGGATGAATTATTTGAGATCAGATATCAAAAGAGGGAACTTCCAGAAGGAAGAGGATGAAACCATCCTTCAATTGCATGAAACTCTTGGAAATAGGTGAATTTTGCTTCCTTCCTGAAAATTTGACACAATCTTCCAAAAAATCAAATTCAAAATTAAGGCAGATCACCAAATGATCATCTGTGGTCAACATGCAGTCCAAATCCATCTAACTTTTTAATTTATTCTTGAATGCAATATTACACACGGCAATGAGAATTGCATATTGTCTATTTTATACTTAAAAATGTTCATGATTTTACATTTCTAAGTTTTATTTAATTAACAAGCTTGATACCGATATTGGAGATTTTTTTTTCCTTTTACATTATATTTTTTGTTTGTTAGCATATAAAGAGATATTAAATTATGGTTCAACTAATTAGGATATGGAATTAGTTGAGTAATCTTAAAAACTTCTTTCTACTATATAAAACCCAGCTGACTCTAGAAAATACACACACAATACAATATATTTCATAAATAATTGATTCATAATATCACGGGCAGATGGTCTGCAATTGCTGCTCATTTACCAGGAAGAACAGATAATGAGATAAAAAATCGTTGGAACACAAACCTAAAGAAACTCTCGAATCAGAAGCCATCAAATAACTCAAACTTGGGAACAGCAACGGCCAGCTCAAGCACTCTGATAATCTGCTCGCAACAAAAATCCCCACAAGAAGATCATTCGGATCAAACCCTTTTGGTTTTGGATTCCGCAGCAGATGAAGTCACAAACTTGGGCGAGGCTGAGGCTGAGGGATTTGGTTTCAGTACTCAACTTTCCATGGAACTTGGCGGCAACTTATGGACCGATCCTTTTATTTCTGAAGACACTTTTAGTAGTTCTAATAATTATAATCCAACTGATGTGTCAATGGATCTATTTGAAGATTATGAAAAGTTACCTCCCTTGTTTGATGACTTTCTTTGGCCTTGATGCCTAGCTTAGATTTGAGAATGAACAGCCAATATGAAAAAAGTTTAATCACATTTAAATGTGTTTTTAACTACTTCAAATGTTTGTTTTCTCTAATCTCTCTTATATCTATTTTTGCAAGAAGAGCTTTGTTGAATCCTCAACATTATTTATTATTTGTCTAAAAAAATTATGAAAAATATAAATATAACACAAACACGTCTTTCATTCCTTTATTGGCTAAATATTCCAAATATTCTTTGATGTTTGAAGTAAATCTCAATTTGGTCCTTTAAAAAAAATCTTTAAGTTCGGTCTTTGAATAAAAAAAAATGCTAAAATTTTGATGTGATCGTTAAATTATTGTTATTAATTACATGTTTAGAGTAGACTCACATATATGTTATACTACTGGATTTTATTGATGAAAATAAAACGTAATGAAAAAAGTAATGATGTTGATGGCGTTTTTGTATACATTCGAGGGAAAGAGAAATTTGAACAGTGACACATACTGGTCAAAAAGTAGGTTAATTAATTACATATAAAGAAGTATGTGGCAAAGAGAGTTAGAGTTGGACGTTTGAAGTATGAAAGCTCAAAAAGGTCAGAATACGTAATTGGGATCCCATCACAATGACACCATGAACACAATCTCCGTGGAAAAGAAGAGTTGAAAAATGGATGACATATTTCACAAGTCTTGGCTACTATTCCCATGGCAGCTTTCAGTGTGAGTGTGAGTGTGTGGCCTATAATCTAATTTCAATACCCTCAAAACAAAAGCTAATAATGTTTCCTTACTTTGGTCAACAATGGACCCGATGTTTTATGTCTCATTTTCGTCGAAACCTTAGGGTCAAATCCGTATTTGTAGTGTTACTCTCAACATAATTTGGTGGGTTAAATACTATTGTCGGATTAAAGGGCCGTGAGTTCAAATATATATTAAAAAAGAGGAGAAAAAAAAAACCCGCCTCGGTAAGAGATTCATTAAATTTCCATTTCCACCACAAACCAATGAACTTAAAGATACGCAGGACCCGCATCCATCAATCCACACAATTGAAATATCTCTACACAAATTTGTGATCGTAAAATTTCCCCACCAAACAGAACAAATATATATTATAATATTTGATTTTGTAATTCTATTTTTCTGTTTTTGAATATTAAGACAAGTTTTGTTTGATTTTGCATCGTAAAACTAAAAATTTTATGCCTAAGTAGACAATATGATACCATTGTAGGAATACAAAGAGGTCTATTGTACTTAATATGATAATCCTTATCCAATATAATTAAGGGTATATTTGGGAATGATGGTAGAATGATAGAGGATCTGTGTCATAGTATTGACAGGAAATTAATCTATATGTTCAAGTAGAAAAGGAAAATCATACCAATTAAATTTAGGCCATATAAAATGAACAATATCATATCAATGGATTTTATGTTTGAACTTTGAAGAAAACTACAAGACATCATGCTCTTGCTAATGAAGTCACTCATAGGGTGCGTGATCATATACAAAACAAATGGTTCATTAATGCAACTCTCTAATCCAAAAAAATAAGCCAGAGGAATATTAACTAAAGTTGAAGAAATAAATGCAGAAAGAGAAGAGTAGTACCTGTTGTTTAGCAAAATCCAAATTGAAAGAGAAAAATATACTCATTACAAGAGTAGTCACTTGTATAGCTTAAAAATCAGTACTTTTAGTAATTAGATTTAAAAGAATTAAAATTTTTATTCATAGTAAAACTAATATTACAAGCGAGGCTATTGTGCTACTTTGAGGGAGAAAAATTACACAACACAGAGTAACTCAATGCAATTCCAAATTGAGATTTCTTCAAAATATATATATATATATATATATATATATATAACTGAATGGGGGACAACACAATATAAATTATAGGTAAAATATGTCCCTTGACTTATGTAATAAAGGGCCAAATTTAAATAAAGTAAGATTATTTTCCACGTGGAATTTGAGAAGAGTTAAGAGATCGGTTGTGAGTTCCATTCCCCACCTCTACATAATTGTACTCAAAAGAGATTAAGATGTCATTCTCCTCTCTAAGGGCGAGTTAGTTTTCCAATGAGATAATAATATATTAGATTGTGCATTTATTTAGTTAAGTAATTTATTTTTGGTTAATTAATTCTTGACATTATTATCCAATAGAAGAAGAGTTTTCTCTTTTGTTTAAGACTAGATTTGACACAATAAAAAGAATCTGGCGCATTAATTCCATAAGATATTTATGATTAGAATTGGTGGATTTGGAGTGAGGGCAAAAAATGGTCAATTTATACGAAAAGATTGATGTTTCATGGGGTGCAACGTGCAACACACAATGAAAGTGACTTGAGCTACATAATTGTAGATCAGTAATTTAGCTCGTTTGCTACGTTTTTCATATTCAATAGTGTTTTCACTTTCAGCCATCTTTAAGTTCACACTTCACACCCATATTTGGTCTCTCTCAGCTTACATACACATTACTAAAATTAAATGAGGTCACATTGGTTCTCAACTTTTAATTGTCAGATTATGTAATATGATTCATGAGCTGATCCCCCTGGCCCCCACATCCCTCCTCTCCATCGCACAATTATTAATTAATCGTCTATTTCTTAATCTTCCCCATTAATTAGATTTGAATTCCTATATATATTACTTTTAAATACTAAACAGGACACATACGAAGATCTCAGAGATGGTGCGAGCGCCTGTGGTTGATGAGAATGGATTGAAGAGAGGCGCGTGGAGTTTAGAAGAAGACCATAAGCTCACAGCTTATGTTGAAAAATATGGCCCTTGGAAATGGCGGCAGGTCCCCAGGCTTGCAGGTACCTACAACACACTACACTACACTTCAATTAATTCCCAATTTCCATACTTTATTTTGCTTTCAACTTTAGAAACACAATCCCAATCTTGCAATTCAATCCATCAATTAATTTTCAGGGTTGACGAGATGTGGCAAAAGTTGTAGATTGCGGTGGCTGAACTATCTCCGCCCTGGTATTAAACGAGGGAATTACACAAACGAAGAGAACGATTTAATCTGCAAATTGCATGAGAAATATGGCAATAGGTACACGTCCATCGCAAATTAATTTGTTGCATGTGTATTGTTATGGCAATTTGAAATTAAATTACGCGGCGTCGTTTAATTTACTTTGGTTTCTCAGATGGTCGACGATCGCTGCAAAGTTACCAGGGAGAACAGACAACGAAGTGAAGAATCATTGGAACGCTCACCTAAAGAAACAAGTGAACCCGAAGGGCGCAGCAGCATCGTCTCAGCCAAAGCCAAAGCAATTAACGTCGTCCCAGATTAAATTGGCAAAAACAGAACCCAGTTTTTTCGACTATTCTTCTTTAGAATTTGGGATCCTAGAAAGCTCTTCTTTGTCCCGACAGACATTTTCCTCTGACGACAATTTTGGGATCATGAACTGGGCAGTAGAAGATTATGATCACAGTACTGGCTACGGCGATTTCTGGAGTGAACCGTTCATTTGGGATGACAGAAATAATGTGGGGCATGTTCCAGATCCGGATGCGTCCTGGGAATTCTCTTCAGACTATGGAATATTTTCACCTCACCATGAAACGACATACGATGATTACGTTGATTTGTTCTGCTCCTTGCTCTGAGTGAGCTACCATAGTTTGTTTATAAACAAAAACAAAAAAAAAGGCTCAAAATGGGATGGTGTTTCAGCAGATTTTCTTGCTACTCTACTATTGGAAATTATAATCTTTTTTGTGTCGCCAAAAGTTTGAGCATGCCTGCTGGTGAAGTAAAATAGCGAACCCGAAATGCTAATGGGTTTTGCAAAATTTTAATGTGGTAATTGGATGCAGCACGTTCCAAAATTTTATACTTAATTAGACATAAATTAGAGTTTATAAATGTAACTTATAATTTAACCTTATATTTATGCTAACACGATCAGCACCCGTGAAATATATATCTTTTCTTAATGGGTTTTATTATCTTAATAACATAGAGTTTTAAGACCCGTCAAACTTGAGTTTGAACTCATTCTCCTCTAATATATCAATAATGATACATATACCTAATATGTTTACATGATTTGATATACTATTGATATAACCAATTTTATATAACATTGATATATTTGAACATTTAGAAGGGCAGAATTCAAATAACTAAAAAAAATGAAAAATTATATTTTAAATATTTTATTATATATTTGTAAAACTATTGCATATTTACAAATATGACAATTATTTTTTACATTTTTTACCGGTCGAAAATTGAATCATCTACTTTTAAGATGGTAATAGTTGTCAACTTGATAGCATTGTGTTATAATAATTAAATTATGCGGATACAGATAGAACAATTATATTATTAATTAAAAAGTGCATTAAGAATTAAAAAGAGAAGCACACAATTTTTATCCCGCTTATGTGAAGAATATTATTTTCCATATTATGATTATGATGTATATATTTGAAATTTCTCTATATTATGATTTTGAAAGTGTGTTGAAAATTAAAAAGAAGTCACATCCGGTCCAAGTCTCGTGTTAAACGCAGACATTGTCTGCTGTTGTGAATTTTGAGTGCGGTCCCATCAAGACATACGATAAGAACTTTTATTGGCCAATAACATTTGATGTTTCGGATTTGTAATAATTAAGAAAATTGAATGACCAAAAGTGTGCGGAAGTTTTTAAATTCAATAATAGTCAAGAAGCTTCCTTTTAGACTTTAAAGGACTATTTATTGCTTTATAAGAAAATATATAAAACTAAAATACTAATTAACACAAACTAAAAACGTTATCTTCAACCAGAAAAAATAAAAAAACTAAATAAAAACATAATGTAATACATTATCCCACGTCAACATTCTACTACTAACCATGTTTTTTTTCTTTTCATTCTAACTTTTAATCATCCATTTCTTTTATTAAATTTTATCAGCTTTAATCATTAATAACTTAATGTTAATAGCTTCAATTATTTGTCTAAAAAAAGCTTCAATTATTTTAAAATACTTTATCGTTTAAATATTACTTTCATTAAAATTATTATTATTTAGTATTAATTTAATCAAGACTAACTCATTGATAATTATAATAAGAGACATTTACACAAAAGGTATGTATGATGATCTCTAACGTATTTGTCCAATCCAAGACGATAGAGATCTTTCAATCTTGTACGGGCGAATGGAAAGGGCCATCCTCCTAGAACATCTAATGAAATAGGTGGTTGGATTCTCTTTCAACAACCTTGACCTCTCACTTGAGTCGTCTTTTTTTCGTATGTGTGGTGCACCCAATCGCTTCTTCCATGTACCACAGAAACTTTTCCTTTAGATCGATATTTATTTGAATGCTCCTATCTCTCACCAAAGAATATCCATCTCTATCAAAATAAAATTGACGATTCACATCCACTGTTACATACATATATATGTATATGTATATATGTGTGTGTATATATATTTTTTAGTAAGCCCTGGCAACACTAGTGATAATACCACACTCTAGCATCTAGATCAAGTAGCATCCGACTTGTTTCTAAATAATATAGGTCAGAGTAGGTGGACTTATACCCATGAATTTATTTTCAATGCAATAATGAGTATTTCGCAATATCACTTTAAAAGTTTTAATATCTCTAAACTTTTTCCTCTAAAATTTTTGCTAATCACTTATCTATTGGCCAGTTTTTTAAAATTTATACCCTATTAGACACAAAGTTAAAAAAGTGAAAGTTTTATTACCACAATATTGAATTTTAAATCTAATAGTTGTGTGAATTTACAAAAAAAATATTAAATAGTTTAGGTACCTAATTGGATATATAATTGAAAGTAGTGATCACCTATTAAATACTTTTAAAGTTCAGAGACTTATTAAATATTATTAAAGTTCACGACCCTATTAAAACACAACTTTAAAAATTTATTAACAGACATATTTTTAGTCTTATGCCTTAAAATTAACTTTAATTTAATTATACTAACTTGAATATTATTCAATGATAATTAAGATATTTCAGTTGTAAATTCAAATACCTTATAAATGTATTTGTAATATGATAGTTAAAAAAATAAAAAATAAAAAATAAAAAATCAATTTTTGATACCAAAAAAAAAAAAATGTCACTATTGTTCCTTACCCTATTTCTCCATTAAAGCTTATTAGGATATTCCAATTCCAATCTAAAATCTAAATCACGCAACATTGCAAAAATAAAAAATATGTGATTAAATATTTCAAAAGTCAAATTATGTGAAATTAAAATTTCAAAAAGTCATAATAGAAATCCGAGGATTATATTAAATATACTTTAAAATAAGATTAGTACTGCTCCTAATTAGTCATAACCTCCAATTCAACCAGAATCATGTGTCATATGTTCCAACCTAACTTAAATTCACACGAATTTTTTAGAAGCATATATAGTGACTTAGCTTCAAATCAATTATGAAGAAATCATAATAAAATATATAATAATATTGTATTACTGTTACATACCTAGTAAGAGAACAGGGGCCTCATATCTATACACATAGGATATTGATTAATTTGTAATTTCAGTACCTTACATTCAGGGTTTCAGCTTTTTAAGAAAAGAAGAATTAAGAAGAAGAAGAAGAAGTTTCATTAATTAATAGTGTCAGTAGCTGAAAAGCTTAGTCTAGTAATGAATTTGGTTTGAGAGTGCAGCTGAGGAGATATTAAATAGTGAGACAGTGGAAGCAATTAGTACAGAGAATAGGAGACAAAGCGCCACTCCCTCAAGCTTAGAGCTCAGACCCAACCTCAACCTCAATGCATTTAAATTTATTTATCAACACATTCACAGATGCTTAATTAATATATCATTCAATTTCAGACCAAACCCTCTCTCTCTCGGTTTCCACGTGAGTTTGCATTCACAACTCAACACTGCCATGCCACGCATCATGGGACACCCAGAGCCTGCAAGCCACCACCAACATTATCTCCATTGGTATGAGACTTTTTAGGTGAAATCAAAAGTAAAGTCGTGAGGCTAGAGTCAAAACGGACAATATCATACCATTGTGGAGATACGTGGAGTACTCGAGGTACCATTGTCCTTAACAAATATGGTATCAAGAGTCATAGTCTAATATGTGGGTGTACTCTATCAAGATGTGGCGGAAGCCTTGGAACAAAGAAAGCCCTAGAGGCTCGATGGTACTTTATGCGAGGGAAGAATTGTTGGGTTTGTAGAGTAAATGCAAACAAAGTCCCACGTAAAAAAAAGACAATTATCTCCATTGATATGAGACTTTTAAGATAAAATAAAAAATAAAGTCGTGAGAACTATACTCGAAGCGTACTATCATAAAAATGGAAAATGGAAGAACAACCAGGAGAAGAAGAGATGGAGATGATATTATTATGATCTGGTCCCACGGGGATATTATTACTCTTACCTTTCTCTGGGAATTTTGTATCCCTCTACAGTCTAGTTTCTGAAGGGTTTAATTTAAGGAGGGGATAAAGTGGCAACTGCTACTGCTACTGCATGAAGTATTGTCCCACTAACCAACCTACAGTTTAATTTGTGAGTTACTGTGCTGCTAAAACAACAATATTAAACTCAACTTATTCACATTATTATTTATTACTTCGACTAATCCAAACCAACAATTCAATAATTTTGTCCCTCAACGTTATTGTTATTTTTTATGAGTCTCAGTTATACAATTTATTATTTTACATATAATTTCTTTAATTAACCCTAAATCCTATGGCACTACACTATTGTGATCCACGTACATTAAGGTCTTTTCGTGTTTTTTTAATGGATGTATGAACAAATTCATACTCTAGTTATGTTAAGGATGAGTAATCCAAATTTTCTATTCGACCCAATTTTAAAATTTGAATTAAAAAGGTGAAAATAAATATGGTAGCTAAAAGATTGGAGCAAGTAGGCTTGTGAGATTGAATTTTTGAAACGAAGCCCAACACACTAGAAACCTTTCTGGAGGGTGTGGTGTGTGGGCCAAACGCCTTTATGGCATGGTTTGTTCTTATCTCATGCACCTACATATTTGTTATTTCGAGTTTTTTCTAGGCCCCGTACGATAACGTTTCTGTTTACTAATTTTTAATAAATAAAAATGAATTGCATGACCCCAACATTTATAGATTCAAGTATGATAAAATAATTTTTTTTATTTGTATTGGGGAACAAATGGAGAATGGAAACAAGAAAAAAGAAACTTGTTTTTGTTATTTTCAAAATTTACATGCAATTTTGAAAATGTCCCAGCCAACAAAGATGGAGAATCAAATTTTGTAGTTGTGTGTTTACTAAATTGTAGGAATGGAATTATCTATTAGGATACACCTCAAATTTTGTAATCATTAAACAATGTATAATCTCATTTATCTCCTACAACTTAACTCATTCATTCTCATTAATTATTGTGTGGTCTTACACCTTTATAATTATTACTTTACAACTTTTATCCTTTCTCTCTGATCTAAATTCTATTACTTTTTAATTAATTATTTTTTATTATTTCTTTTTTATTTATATTATTATCAAATATTTCAAATTTCTATTAAAATTTTTAATTAACTATTTTTTTTTCGACTACTGGACATATGAATTGAATTTCGAACCTGGATCTTGGGTGTCAACACCCGAGGTGCTAATTAATTAACTAATTTTACTTTGTTATTATTAGCATTAATCAATACATTTTTTCAAATAGAAATTTAATAATTTTATATTAAATAATGGTTGTCCTAATAAAAAAAAATTTAGTTGATGTAATTTTATTTTTATTATTTGTTTAATATTAAAAAATTATTGTAACAAAAATATATTTACTATCAATAAAATAAATTAAAATTCATTCTTATTTTAATTAAAAAAATTTAGGGATTTGTAAATAGTTAGAAATAAAGATGGACACATATATATTTGATTCTTATTTCAATTTGTTGACGGTAAACAAGATGAAATATTTTTTATTGTGATTACATCCCATTCCAATTGCCGTAAGTAAACGGGCCTAAAGGGGGTGTTCTGTGATTTTTCTTGCTTTCAGTTTTAACTCGATGTACTATTGGTTAATTAGCTAGGCGTTTCTTAAACTTGGACCACTGACCCACTAATTAATGGGAAAGAATCGATCTTTACGTGAATTTTACTCCAGAGACTCAATCTCCAACCAAAGGATTGGATTCTTATCCATGAACCAGTGAAAAAAAAAAAGGAAAAGAAACACTTGGCTTTTCTACAGAGAGAGAAATCAAATGCTTCTCAAATTTCAGTTTAATATTAGCACCTAAGGCTAAGGAAAAGGAAGCTGATGAATTTCTCAAGTCCAAACCCACTCATTTCGAGGACTTGTAAGTCAGAGGAGCAAGTATACATTAAAGTAAAACGTAACAGCCCATATTAATAATAATAATAAAACTGAACACTGGACTTGGAAGCCAAAGTCTTAACCAAAGTCATTGTTTTTAATTTGAATGGGGAGGTGGTTGGTTTTGAATATATTAATTATGCAATGCCATTAATGGTATAGTAATGAAGTTTAAGTTTAAATTTAAATCTTCCCTCTCTATCGCTCTGTACTGTCCCATTCCACCTCCGTCCAGTTGTTATCATCTTTTGGGTGCAGAGAACAGTGATCTCAAGAACAAAAAAATGGGTCCAGATTTATATTTGATAGGGAAATCTCATGCTCATTACAGGGGACCATCGAACGGATTACATAAAACCAAACATATTATATTCCTGTAATCAATCCTCCAAACACTCACCAGTTCTTATATTCTTTCTTTTCAAAGGTTTAACAGTGTATGGACAAAGATTAGGTTTTTTCTTTTCTAAGATCATGCCTCACCTTCTTCTCGTAGAAATTGAATTGAAACCCAGACACAAAAATAACTTCCCACGCAATTTCTTATGAGGTTTCCTGAGATATTTTTGGTTGTCTTTTTAAAGTTTTAAAATATTATATGTTCATTGTTATGAGAGCATACTAACCACTTTAAAATGATCATCTCCCAAACGTTTGTTTAAAAATTAATTTTAAGCAATCCTAGTCTTTTGAGAAGAAAAAGAAAAAATCAATCCAAAATCTTTAATTTATTTATTGTGAAACATTGTGCATTTTTTATTAAAAAACTTTTAACTTATGCTCTAAATTTGTAATTATTCTAAGGATATCACAAGAAAAAGTAGTTCTATTTAAAAGATACATTTTTCAATATTCATCTCAAACACAAAAGTATGGCTCACTCGTTTGTTCATTATTTGACCTCTACCAATTTTGAATGTCGGATATTTTCTAGTAAGATTGTAATTATCTTCCCCATTGTAAAATATGTTGGTATCATCATCTTTATATGTCACATACTAGTAATTATATGTGAATGTTAATTCTGATCGACAAAACTTGAAATTTGGAACTAATTCAAAGTTGATCAACAACAAACTAAAATGTAACTTTACAAACTGTAGGACCTTACCTATAATTTAAGCAATAATTTTACTATGGTGAGGGTGGTAGATGAAGAATGTAGGATAGTTTAGTTTATATGAGAGTAAAAAAGGAAGTTGAGTGAGAAGTAAAAGAAGGATGGAAAGTGAGAGGAGAGGGTGAGGGGTAAAAAAGGTTGGAATGAAATTATTGAATAGTTATTAAGTATAGTTATTCTTCTGCCAGAAACTAAGAGACAGAAGAACACTAAAACCCGAAAACAGAAAACCCAAACCCAAATCCAACTCCCCATAAGGACACTTCAAAGTTATGTTTTGTCTTTGGTCCCAAATAACAACAAAAAGGAACAAAAATTCCCACCTTTCTCCTCTTTTTAGCCTACAAAATCTCCCCACACCCATTCTCCATCACATATCAACTTCATCTACTCATCTACATCTACCATAACAATAACATAACCCCTTTTTTCCCTTTTTCCCGCATCATTTTCACTCCGGCGAGCGCCTCCCCAGCCAGTCAGTCAACAGTCACTTTCCATCTTCCTCACCAGCCAGGGGGGGAGAGAGAGAAAGAGAGATCGCATTGTTGGATCTGAGAAATCTGGACCGTCGGATTCTTGCAGTGCCCAATACCATTTCTCTTCTTGCCATCCTTGTCTAATCTGGAATTGGCAGTGATGAAGGTGTTGTTTTCACTTTCAGAGCTTGAGAAATGGTGCTCCAGAACATTGGCCGCCGTGTCTGAGCTCTGTGCCACATCAAATCCCCTCTCGTACCCATTTATTACCATCTCCTGTACTCCCTTGAAGCATCTTACCAACATTTCCTCCTCCTCCTCCTCCTCCTGCCATCCACACCCACATCCTTTTTTTTTTTAATCAGAATGTCCAAATAATATATATTTCAGTGAGATTGCATTTATTGCCTTCTCGTTTCTCAGATCAATACCATGTGTATTAATTTTGAACATAAACAAAATGGGGAAGGAAGGGTATTTACTTTATGTACATAGGAACAGTTGAGAATTGCTTTTCTGAAGCAAGGATATTGAATGGGGAAGAGCTCGTGTGAAGCAGAGAGGAGAGCAGATGCAGCAATTACTGATGGCTTGAACTCCAAAAGCTTAATCCCTACAAAGAAAAACACAATGTCTCTGTTATCGTATCTGTCATTGATCCAGAAAAATGTCTGCTTTTCTTCTCTGTTTTGTTCTTCAGATATTTACCATTTTGAGCTATGAAGATGATTTCTGTAGCTCTGGCTTTGAGAGCTTGCAGTAATGGAGGGTCTCTGAGTTTGAAGAGGGAGAGGAAGAAGGGGACAAAAGAAAAGGGGGTGATTGAGCGCATTCTCCATTTCAGAGCTCCCAAGATGAGAACTTCCATTCTGTGCACTGTTTGGGGATCAAAAATGAAGCCCTCGTTCCCCTGTTTCAGAAGAGTTTCAAAATTGAGTTAGCTCTGGATTTGGCATTTGGCATTGGGTTGGCTACTTGTTTCCACGGAGGATGATGAAAGCAATAATACCTGAAAATCGAAATGGGTTTGTTCCGTCTGCTTCATTTTCGCCGCCAGGGAAACACAAGAGACCGCAAGAAGCCTCAACACCCATGGCTTAGGTTGCTGTACACACAACCCCCAAAGTCGGTTACCTTCTACTTCAATTTTCGAAAACAGGGGAAGTAAAAAAGAAAAAAACTGAGAAAACGTTACCGCGGGGACTCCCTGAGAGGAGAAGAAGCGATCGAGATAATTGACGGCAAGGTAGGAGACGTGGGGATCGATGCTACAGGTAGAGCAGCACTGTAATGGGAGTTAATTTGGTTGAGTAAAAAGGTAAAAAAAGAGAGAAAATGGAGAAGTAAGTTCCGTACGTACCTGGGAGATTAAAGAAATGGCGTCTCGGCGGAGGGCGAAATGGGAGTGGGAAGTTAGAAGGGTGTGGAGATAAGAGTGGGAGAGCATGTGATCGGATTCGATGAGGAAGAGGGAGTGGAGGTCGTGGAGATGGGTGAATGTGAAAGGGTTCTCGAGATCCATTGGTACAGAGGAGGAGGCGAGAGGGATTTCAGTACACGCAAGGGGGAGAAGAAGAAGAAGAAGAAGGCATTGTTTAAAGACAAGCTGAGTCCGTTGCTGTTTCTTAAAAGAAGGAAGTTGAGGAGACTTCAATTTTACTCCTTCATACTCGTACCACTCTCTTAACTCTCTCTTTCTCTTTCTCTTTCTCTTTCTCTTGTTGGGAAGGAAAATGGAAGTGGGGAGTCATCCAGTGGGGTCACAACCGTAATATGTCGGAATTTCAGTATTCGCACCACTAACTTTTATTTTTAACTACCTTCACTTCTTTTTAACTTTCAACGTTATATTTTTATTTTCGCCGCTTAGTGACAAATTACTTTAAGGTTAGGTTCTACATTTTTCTTTTTGTTTTTTGAAAGTATTTTAACCACCACGTGAGTCAAATACACTCTATAAATACCTTTTCTTTTTTATCAAGTATTTTCAGTATACTACATATTAACTTCCTTTGCTCAAATTCAATTGAAATCCAAAACCTTTAATGTTGATTACAATAAATTTTTTAAATTGGAATTAAAAATCTTTTCTTTTATTTATTAAAATCTTCTATTACAAATTGTACTTATTTTTTAGTTAAAATAATATTTTAATTTATTTCATTACTACTTTATTAATAGTACAGTTAATTCAATATTGTCAAATAATAAATAATTAAATAGACTACATCAACTGCAATTTTTATTAGAACGTCCATTATTTGATATAAAATATTATTGAATTTCAATGTTCTAATATTTAATAATAAGGAATTATATTTGAAAAAATTAATTGATATTAATTAATAGTAACCAAGTATAATTGAATAATTAAAAAGTTAAACATAACATTGTAATATTTAATAATAAAATCATGTCACTTAATAAAATTTGTAGAAATTTTTATTAGAACAAAAGTTATTAGTAGTGTGTGTTTGTATCTATATATATATATTAAAAGTACACGACGATTAATATATATATTAAAAGTATACGATGATTAATTATATATTGAAAGTATAAAACGATTAATTAAAAAGTTATAGATCTTAGTGATAGATGAGAGGGAAAATTCAAAAGTTGTATTTATATATATATATATATAGGTTCTATAAAACCATTAACTAAAAAGTTACAGGATGAGAAAGAGAAATGTAAAGTTGTAAATTTAATTATTAAAAAGGTGTGAGGCACATAATGAAAAAAGAGAACTGAATTAACATAGGTCTCTCTCTAATTGGTTCTATCCTCACACATAATAAAAATTTTATTCTCATTGTTTGTTTCTGATTCTCTTGGAATAAATGGGGCTATCAAAAATGTCCTTACTATTATAATTTTTTTTAATTGGTAAAAAGTTGCTTTTCAGTATCTAATTTATATACTTTGTTTTACGAACCATTGAAGAACAAAAATAAAAGGTGTAATACCACTTCCTAATTTTAGTTTTTAAAAATTACAAGAGAGAGAGTAGGAAACGGAGAAAATATATTAAGAATACGATCATTTTTTTTCTAATTACTTTTGAAGTTACAGAATAAATAAATTTAATGTAGTGAAATAAAATGCGTTCAGAAGGGAACCTTTAAAAGAAAAATATAAGTAAATAAATTGATGAAAATATGAAGATAAAGAAAAGCTTTAATAGGTACATAAGGTAACCAACGAACATGTAATATAATTAACAAATTGCTAAAAAAAATTTATAAATATACTCTTTTTTATTCTTATTTGATTTCAAATTTTGTTAGTCGTAAGCAGACAGTCAAAGAAACATCATGGATATATAACTAGATGATAATATTTTAACCTCAAACATTGTAATTGGTCCTCTCTAAAATGTGTAATAGGATTCCAATACTGTAATCTTATTAATCTTATTCTCGTCTTTTATTTGGTAGACTCTACACCTTTATTATAATTACTTTCAACTTTTACATTTCTCTCTCATCTATCCAAGAGACTTTTATTATTTCTCTTTTATTTATACTATTAATAATTTTTTATTTAATAAAACTTTTGCGAGTGGATGTGATTTTATTATAAAATATTACAAATTTGTATTTAATTTTTTAATTTTACTTTGTTGTTAACTTGTTATTAATTAATATCATTACATTTTTTAAAAATAGAATTTTCTTTATTATTAAATATTTTAACACTAAAATTTAATAATATTTTATATTAAAGGATGTTTCTTCTAATAAAAATTTATTTCAATTGTTTTACTATTGTATAGTAATAAAATAAAATATAATTTTAATTAAAAATAATATGGAGCTAAGTGTCTTATCTACTCATTTATGTTCAAATTATGATCTATGTTATCTAATTGACTCGTGATCTAACTATTTGACTTTGAGTACAAGATAGTTAAAATAAAACGAAAGATAGATTATGGTTTTTTTTTTTAGTTTAACAAAAGGAAGTTGAGATTTAAACTTCCATTTTGTTTGGTTAATTTGTTCCAAAGGGACGGAAGTGAATCAATAATTAAAAAAAGGTAAAAAGGTGTGGGTAAGTATCCAAGGAAATAAATGAATATAAAGAAGATTAAGAAGGGAAATTAATTTTGTAATAGTATAATGACAAAAACTAGAAGATGTAGGGCAACGGGCAAGCCTGAAACCGCTGCCCGCTACAGACAAACCACATTCCCGCAATATCTACTCCTCTAGGTAATTAAGATCCAGCTTCCCATCCCCACAAATCTGATCCTTCCAAATCAAAACCTTACAAGTTAAAATATAGTTTTTTTTCTTTTTTTTTATAATTAAAGAACAAACAAGTTCAGGTTTACAGCTTTTGTGAATTGTGATTCAGTGTCGTTCTGTTGTGTTGAATGGAACGAAACGCTATGTCGTTACAAGCAGAAGAAGACTACCAGTAGGACAATAAATGCAAAATCATATTTGTAATTGGAGGATGAGAAAGTCAAGAGAAGACGAAAAAAAATACTAATAATGCACAATTCGGTAGTATATAGATCTTTTTATACCCACCCATTCCTAGTTTATTATTAATTACCAATTTTGTAGTTTATTAAAATTTTCAACTATGCGATTTTAAAAGTTTTATTTTGGTCTTTATAATTTAGTTCAAAATTTACAATTGTTTTTAACATTATTATATTGTTTTTTATCCATATGATAATGAACCGATCTTTCTATCTTAGTTAATTATAAGTAAATAGGATATCCAAACAAGTAAACACAGTTTAAGTATGATCTGGAAATTTAATCGTATGGTAAAAGTCAAATTTAAATTCAATTAAAATCATAGAAATTAAATTTTTAAAAGGGGGATATTTAAATAAGTTGATCAGGTGGGGGAGATATGAGCCTCGAATGGAGATTATTTGGATGTATTTGAATGGTGAAGATAAAAAATAGGTGCGGGGAGTGGGAATCAGTTAAAAAAGACCTACCACGAAAGTAAAGACAAGTAACATTTAAATAAAATAATAAAGTAGAATCTAGGAATTCGATTGGTCGATGCTTCTGATGCTGGAAAATCAAAATTGAAGTATTTGATTTCTTCTACTTCCATTTCATTTCTCACCTTTTAGACAATTACTGTAATTTGTTTTTAATAAAAAGGGAATGCTTAAATTTACTATTGTGATATTTGTATAAAAATTAAATATATATATACATATATTCAGAAGCTAGTGTTTTATGATTTTGAAAGATTTAAAAAGTATTTTAAAAAATTGGAAACTAGACAAAGGAATAATTAGTAAAAACGGCTTATTTCTTAAAAATATAAAGTTTAAATAAAAATATTGTCATAGAAAATCTCAGCTGTTTTTCCAATTTAGTTATGGTTGTAATTAAAGTGTTTTTAAAACATGAATTACGCAATAAGATAAAACTATAACTCTTTAAGGCTAAAACCAAAAGTAAACATTGGGTTCTCTCCTACCTCAAGTGTGCATCTTAGTTTCAACTTAATGTGTATCCGAGTTTCAACTAAAACACGTTGAGGATGAAGAGGAAGCGGCAAACATGCCAAAGAGTAGAGCTCAACTAGACTCCAACTTGAAAAAGATTTCGAATGACAAAAAATCCATTGACAGCCAGAGAGATATAAATTCATCTAGCAAAGAGTCTTCTAAATGTATAGGTGGAAGATCATGACAAGTACGACGCTACTATTGTAAGCATCGTTTTTCAATACTCCCTTTATATAGAAGGTGGAGTTCTCTTAATTTTCACATGTACACAATCTATTTGTCTTCATCTAAATTTGACTCAACACCAATTCGACCAAATACTTCTTAAGCTTCGTAGTATACATGATTGAACATCATTCCTTTGCAAAATTTTTGTTTGCAAGGCGTCCAACCTACATTAGAGTCCACCTTGAATGACGTGTAAAATCCTGCATCAAAGTTTAATCCTACAAAAATAAACAATTACAAATGAAATACTCCAAAATTGTCGATCATAGAACTGGCAATGACCAAATTTCAAGTATAGCAAAACTCCAATTGTCAAAAAGATAACCCCCATGTGGCTTAAGAGCATTAAACGTTTCTATTAAGAATAATTATTGTTTCTAAAACATAATTGTTGTCGAACTATTTTCTAAAAGTCATGGTTATTAGTTAAGAGCTCCATCACTTTTGATACAACATGTATTGATTAATATCTTTCATAAAGCTATAGTGATGAAATTGACAAACCTTTTGTACTTTGATTATATGGCATATAATCAGTAGGATGGGTGGATATATATTAGTGTGTTGGAACTTTCCAAAGGAAAAGGGCTTCATATTCTAATCAGATTTTTGTGGCTTAATGCGACCATAAAATTTTCCCCACTTTTTCCATTCCTCACGCACTCATTTTCCAAATAGATCCACCACCCTCAGCCTTTTTTATTTTCATTAATTAAATCAATTGATCGGATTTATCATGATAATATATCATCTTCAACTTTTCACGTGATTATTAGTTAAAATACTCTAGAGCATTGCATTTACCAACTTAATCATTTTTTAATACAAAACAACTCCACATAATTTTATTATTTTATTTACGTAAGATATGGAAATTGATCTTTTAATTAAAAAGAACAGATATCATTTATTGTTAAGTTAGGTTGGTTATAAAAAAAAAATTATGATCATATTGGCAAATACTACATGATTAGCAGGTGACCAAACGTAAAAAAAAAAAAAAAAGACGACGTACCCAATTAATATTTTCCCATCTCAACTACTTGAATATATCAACCTCTTCCTACCATAGAATTAAACATCATAATGCGCATTATATTCGAGAAACCCCATTTATTGGCAAAATAATTCCAAAGCAAATTTCGGCTCTCACGTTATGGAAATTAATTATGACCAACACATCGCACGAAAATAATAATTCCATTCGCTCCTGTTTCTTTACGATTCATCTCCTTAATTTCCTTTCAATAACAAAGTTCCATCGGATTCCAAGAGTCAATTCCTTCGTCTCAAAGAAATTTATAAAATTAAAGCATGGGGGAAAAATGATAAATTTTTTTTTTCTTTTGGGGGTATGAGTCCCCAATTCGTTTGGAGAACGTTCCAATAGCTTTAATTCAGAGGGGGTTGCTTCACCTGGAATTTTGATCTGTTTCTATATAATGATTTAAATGTTGACCAAACCACTTTAGGAAAAAAAAAAGTTTTGATTTTATTTTTTTTTTCACCCCTTTCACTTTCGTCTCGTTGGGTATCTTTCTATGCATTGATCTAAGAGAAAGTATAAAGAAACCAAATTAGAATACATTTGTGACTTGAAAATAAACTATTCTCCCACAGTCCACACCCACCAAGGCCCCCACATATTTCCCCTTTTTGCTTTTCATCTCTCTCTCTACTCTCTAGTTTTTACAGGTTTAAGATATGGGGAAGAAGGGAAAAAAACAGAAAACAGAGAGAGGGGACAGAGACGATAAGTGGATACTTCACGCGAAACCCCCCATGCAGAATACACCATCATTGAATTGTAATAATTTAATACAAAAAAAAAATTATTAGATTGAAAATGTAATAATATATACATCCAATTTCCAATTTGTGGGCTTCCTCTACTTGGGAGGACAAATTCGGCCTACCTCTATTTATTTATTTATGTCACACCTTTCTATCTAATAATTTTACCCCTTTCCTATTATTTTTCTCCTAACTTCATTTTTTTTATTATCTTATGCCTTTACCACAATTATTTTTACATTAATTCTCTCCCTCGTAAAATCTTTTTTTTTTTTAATTTAGTTTTAGTTCCCACTGTTTTAAATGTTCATTTTTAGTCCCCAACATTGGTGGCTTTTTAAATAAAACTTGATCCTAAAAGTAAAAATAAATAAATAAGAGAAACTTGATTTCCAAAGTGAAAGAAAGGTGTTCGAGAATGGTCAAAGAGACATGGTACCTATGTCACGACTTGTTAAAGGGACCAAAGAAGCTTTTTGATTAAATTTTGTGGCTGCTATTTTTCTCTGAACAAGGCTAAGCTTGCCAATGCTTCCCTTTTCGTTATCCATGTGCATGCCATGTGCTTCTATAGGTTAACACGAGGTTAATCTATCCGTTTAAACTTTTATGTTTAATAGAGATTGGATATATCTTAATATATTAGTTTCTTTTATATTATATATAATATATACCTAATTAAATTGAGATATTTAATATAAAGTTCATATGTTATTTTGATTAGTTGTTAAGTTGAACCTAACTCAACTATTAAAGTACTAACAACTTTTTTTTAGTTTAAAGGTTCAAATTTTCACTCCATATTTATAATGTTATATTTTATTGGATATAACAGCGGCCACACTGAATCTTAATCTATGATAGATTAAGATTTTGTAGATTTAGATAATAAAGATCGTACGACTTAATTCACTCTAGGGCATTTGATTGTAATAATTGGACGATTGGGCCTTGCCATATCAAGAATGGAAAACCAGTGATGGATCACTTCAATTTTTTTATATATGGATTGGATGGGGACTTTACCAATGGGAATGAGAATTTTGAGGGGCCAGCCCAAATTACAACTACTTCAAGGCCCAATTTATAATGGCCCTTCTCTTCTTCTTCTTCTTTATTATTTATTTTTAATTCTATTTTAATTATGATTTGCCTTTCTTTCTTTCTTTTTAATACAACAATATGTAGGAGAGGAGTGGCGATTTGAAATCACAGTCTATTTGTGGGAGATGCCTAATAAATTGAGTTCAAGTTCAAATTCTCTTAAATTGACATTTGGAGGATATATTTACCTTTATTTTATGAAGTGAGTTTCTTGGAACTAATTATGTAATGATTACATAATTTTCTTATGAGAATAAATTATTATATAGTTAAACTTAAACATATTTATTCTTAAACCATAGCTCATTAAAATCTATTAAGGTTTGAATTTTGTTTTACTTTTAAGGTTTAAATACACTTATCTTTTGGTCCAAAAATATTTTATAAGTTATTTGTTCTTCTATTTTTAAAAAATAAATTTATACCTACTTACGTGTATTTTATGTTTTGTTATTTAAACTTTATAAATATTTGGATGAAAAATATATCAAATAAATTGTAAGAGTAAAAATTATTATTTTAAAATTAAAATCTAAAACYGAGATCATTATCCAATCAAACTAACGAAAAGAAAAACAATACTCTAAGACCATTTATCATTAGCTCATCATGTGAGGTGATCTTCGAAGACCATTTATCATTTACGGAAAGTCATCCCACACTTTGAGAAAATCCCGGACCGAACTGAGTTAGCTGACACCAAACGCCGGATCCAAGAAGGAAATGGAAACTGACATCCTGGTAAACCTCCTTCTCGAATCGGAATACAACTCCTTTTCCTTTTTCAAATTCACTCAGATGTGAGATCTCTCTGTATGATTGAAGAAATAATCGAATTCCAAATTTGCAAAAGGATAAATACACTCCCACCATTCGAACTGTGTTACCCATCTCACTAATCTTTTAATTAGCGTTCAAAATTTTCTTCTTTCTTCCAAACCATCGTAGGATTCCGTGTTTGCCGAAGAACTCTGCTCTCTGTTCCTGCTATTTTTGAAGAATTCTGAGAAGGTCAGGATCCTTCTGGTATATATATCCCTACTTGTTTGTGTCATTATGATCCATGTTTTCTTAATAGGCAGTGGTTTTAAGAGATCTTCTCAAAGCTATTGAAATTTACCCATTTGGTTGCATCAAATTAGGTTATTAATTGCAGCTGCTACCAGAAAGAAAGTGAATATGGTGGCGATTGATGAAAACGCGCATGTTGCAAGGCTTAAGGTTTGTGTAATCAGATCAAAACCTTTGTTCTTGTTGCAGTATAATATAATCTCTGATGCATATTTTGTTTTGTTAAAAGGGGAAATATGCTACCATGGTTGTGTGTTGGCTTCTTGGTAACGGATGCCTCTTCTCGTGGAACAGCATGCTCACCATTGAAGATTACTATGGCTATTTGTTTCCGGTAAATATTCATCCCCAATTCCCTCATTCTCTTGAATTATTCATTCATTAGCCTCAATCACATATGTTTCCCCCTTTATTTCAAATCGTCTACAGCATTACCACCCTTCAAGGGTTCTTACTCTTGTGTATCAACCATTTGCACTTGGAACAATTTCAATACTTGCATACTGGGAAGCAAAGATCAACACCAGAAAACGGAATCTCTTTGGATATGTCCTGTTCTTCATTTGCTCCCTCGCGGTTTTAATTGTAAGCACAGTTTCCTTCCTTCTTTTTGTTTTGTTGAGAACTAAATCTACAACTTTTAGTTTGATTCCACTGCTTAAAGGCCATTCTGTAATATTATGTGAAAGTTTTGTGGTCTGTGCCATTGTCAATATCTCTTGTAGTTGGATTTAGCAACATCTGGAAAAGGAGGGCTTGGCCCCTTCATAGGAATTTGTGTCATTAGCGGCGGCTTTGGAGTTGCAGATGCTCATGTCCAAGGGGGAATGGTTGGAGATCTTTCCTTTATGCAACCTGAACTCATGCAGGTTAATGCCATCTTCCATGGCTTTGCACATCCACTTGTCTTTATTGATCATGTTTCCATGAGATTTTGAATATGTAATCATTTTTGTGCTGTTTTATCTTGTGTTCCTCAGTCTTTCCTAGCTGGCTTGGCTGCCTCCGGCGCTCTTACCTCAGGTTTGAGATTAGTAACAAAGGGAGCATTTGAGAATTCTCAGAATGGCCTTCGCAAAGGAGCTCGTATGTGCTCTTGCCACTGGATTTTTGTTTGTTTTGAAACAAATTGATTTGTACTTTGATTAAAATTTCAATTTCTTTTTCTCCGTTTTCCCCCATTCTTGATCTTGAACTGCTATTGTTATGAATATATTGCATATGGGTTTTGTTACTTGTTCTCACTATTTGTGTTGCTAAGGTCTTTGCCTACCCTATTTTCAACTCATTTGATTTTTAACTAAGATGTAAATGAAAGCTTGGTTCCTGGAAATATACGTGTTACAGAGAGCATACTTATAGGCTCTAATGACATCTGATCCCTCCCCTAGAGACTGACTCTTCTACATGTTCTCTGCAGTTTTGTTCTTTGCAATCTCGGCATTTTTCGAGCTTCTCTGTGTTCTTCTCTACGCATTTACCTTTCCAAAACTTCCGATTGTGAAACACTTTCGGGCCAAGGCAGCTTCAGAGGGATCAAAAACGGTTGCAGCTGACCTTGCCGCTGCTGGCATCCATAATGTAGCAGATGAGGTAAGCAAATTCTTTAAACCATCCAAGTGTCTCCTTTTCAAACTTGTTCAAGTAACACACCATAATTACCTGTAGGCCGAGGGAAAAGCAACCGAAGTTCAACGACTTAGCAATAAAGAACTACTGCTACAGAATGTCGACTATGCAATCGACATTTTTCTGATATACGCCCTCACATTATCCATTTTTCCTGGATTCCTATCTGAAGATACTGGATCTCACAGTTTAGGAACATGGTATGTTTCTCATTCACATAGTTAGCTGGATCAGGATGTCTATTGATTCACATTGTTGATTGGATTCAGATGACGACTCCGGTGTCTCTCTTCACTATTTTCAGGTATGCGCTCGTGCTGATTGCAGCGTACAATGTTAGTGACCTTATTGGGAGATACATTCCACTCATCAAGAGTATCAAGTTAGAGTCACGCAAAGGGCTTATGGTCTCAATTATTAGTCGTTTCTTACTCGTACCAGCGTTCTACTTCACAGCTAAGTATGGCGATCAAGGCTGGATGATACTCCTCACCTCATTCTTGGGGTTGACTAATGGTTACCTGACTGTTTGTGTGCTCACTTCTGCACCAAAAGGTTACAAGGTGAGATTTGTAGAATGGAAATAGAAGTTAGTTTCTGAAGTAGTTTGTATGTTACATTAGAAGCTAAAAGTGGTGTTTTCTTTTGTGTTGTGTGCAGGGTCCAGAGCAGAATGCATTGGGGAATTTGCTGGTTCTGTTTTTACTTGGAGGAATATTTGCAGGGGTAACCCTCGACTGGCTATGGCTAATAGGCAAGGGCTGGTAAAAGCAGTACGTTTACCGTGGACTGCTTTTAGCGAAACTACTTTGATTACAAGCACTTGGTGAAGAGTGTTTGATATTCTCATTTTTGTTCTACACTCTTAGGAGTATTTTTTTATCAAACAGGATCAATATGTTCTCTCACAACTACTTATGACTCATTTTTACTCATTTTTTAAAATATTTTTATCGACATAGTCTTAGAATTTTAAAAATCGTACATTGATTTATTTTATTTTAGTAGTTTTGTAGAATATTTTATTTTATTTATTAGTCATTATGTGATTGAAAGTAAATTTTCTAATTTAAATTCAATGAGGAGGGCTGGAATTAAAGCTATACATAAACGTCACATGAGTTTGTTTTACAGTTTATTTGAATTATGCTATTTTATTTCTGGCCTCGGAATAACAATTTTAAATATTGTTTGCGAGTTAGTGACTTTTCAAACAAAGGAGGGTGGACCCCATCTCAGTGGGACTATTTCTTCTGAAGCTTTTCCCCAACTCCAACTCAGATACTTTTTCCTTTTTCAAAAAAATAAAATAAAAAAC